GCAGACTCCCTAGGCCACTGTTCCCCACAGTATGGACAATATCGTAATAGTCTGGAAGCATTTTTGAGTGCCAGTTTGTGGTGGTGTCTATATTTCAACTGTGCACGCTGAGGAAGTCTGTGGATTCCTTTCTATCACCACCATATAAGCAGCAGTGGGCTAAGGATGTTATAAATCTGTTTTTAAAGCATCACCCAGCACTCTACGCAGGAAGAGAGGACCCGAGGCAATATCCAGAATCACATTTTCATAGATCACGCTCACAGCTATCCCCACATGTAAATGGGTAAGAGAGAGTATAAAATATAATATGTATATGTTTCTCAAAGACCTGCAAATGAATTTTGGAACTTGGAAACAATAGTACCTTGTGTTCTTTTGAGAATGAATACACTGAAAACTGTGACTTCATAGTATGAGAAATATAATGCCCTTATTAAAAATGTTTGCATTCATCAGTAAAGGATAGGAAAACTTACCTTTGAATTGAAGGTAACATATTTTGGCGTACATATGTCACTATCTGTTGCATTATGACTTGTTGTTGAGTTTAGCTCTGAAACAATGCAGGGAATTTGAAATTTCTTGTAGATGACCTAGTATTTAAAAAAGCAGTGGAAACAACGAAGAATTTAGTAAAGCCACATAATGAACAATCATTACATAGCACTGCACCACAACAAAACCAAACTATTTCAATCAGCACTTACCACTATTAGGAAAAAAACCATACAGCTCAAGGAAAATCCACTAGTATAGCCAAGATACCCTTTCAAAAAAAGGAGAAAAAATAAATTGTTACTACTATTTCATTCATCACTTCATTTCTTTCGATGCGTTATTGCAAGTGTAGTTTGGGGCTCCAATAATATACATATGTGTCAACGTGAGCATGAGATTTATTATCTGACAGTGCTACCTTATTTGGCAAAGAAATGGAGCTTTGAATAAAAACATTATGTGTTTTGACTCCAGTTCTCCCTGGCACACTAGAGAACATAGATTCCCAGAATCCAGGAAAAAAGAGCCTCCCAATTCTGGCCCTCTGTCTGTGGTGGTGTACTCTGGTGGCGGTCCACAGGCAAATCCATTCACTCCTGGATCCCCTTGATGGCTCTTTATTATGCACTTATTGTGTGCATACCGAATGTCAGTTATAATACTTCTCTTCCCAAATGAGAGAGAGTAGACAAAAAGAACTTTCTAGTGATAGATTGAGTATCTGGGGATCCTCACCCAGCTCCCTTAGAATGCCTGGGAGATCTCCAGCTGGCACCGTTATCTCCAGAATGGTAGTTAAGTGGTCTCTCGGGATTGCATGATTCTCACCCCCGAGGAAGAGCCCTTCTCTACATAACTGCAAAGACCTAGCTCTATTGGTATAGAAGAGCCAAAACATAGACCCAGAAACCAGAAATTAAAAAAGAAAACATTTAAAAGTTGACTTTTAAACCTCACAGAACAGCTAGAGAAGTCTGATTTTTTTTCCCCAAAACAAAACAAAAAACTGTGGCTCATACATATTTTTAGAAAAACCTTATTCCAAACTTCTGCCTTGAATTAGAGGATATATATATTTTGGAGGGTTTTGACTGGATGGCACTCTGGCCTGATTATTCAATGGATGAAACTCCCATAATGTCAAGCATTCTTGTCTCCAAATAGAAGCATAAAAACCAAACCGATGTCTAAACCAAATGGCTATGACTGGGAAATTATCCATCATTTTTGACTTTCACTTCTCTTTCCCCCTTCAGTTAGGCAGATAAATTGAGATTGGCTAGACTCTCTACATTTAACAGCAATTCCTAACACTTGGGGTGGGGGTACAAATACAAGCAACCTTCTGTCTTGCTATTAGATTTGAAAATCTATTTGTCTAAATAATCAGTGCATTTAAGATGTTATATAAGGAGAACTGCATTTTCTGGACTTAGAATATCCTCTCTCCCCCCCCTTACCCCTCAACCTGGCAAAAAAAAAAGAAAGTAAAACAAAAGAAAAGGAAACATCCCCATCTGAGTCTGTTCTCCCATCTCTCCTCCACAGCTTGGTAGAGGGCCTGGGACATTCTCATACTGCCCAGTGCTTTTATCCCAAGTTGGGCCTGATTAATACTTGCAATTTATCATTCCCCTAATCTTTACCCTACATGTGGAAGCAGAGGGAAAAGTTCATTTTTACTCCATTTTTGATTCATCTGGGTACTGAAGAGTAAGGTAAAAGCAAAACTTGTTCTTACCGAGGTTCTTCAAGAGACACAGAGGGAGAATTATGCCAAAAGTAACTATCACCACCAGAACGCGGCCATCCACGTACCAGGCTCTGAAAGACATTTCAGCAGTTTAGTTACATTTTTTAAGAAAGTGACTTTTTTTCTCAAATGTAAAATTTCATGATATATTTTAGTTACTTTTTTACTACTCCCAATTTTTACCATTAACTTTTTAAGGGATTATTCAACTTTCATCCAAACACTTTGACCCAACCACTCCTCACTTACTACAATACAGCCTCACTCCCAGGTAATGGAAGAAGGGATATTGGCTTTTTGCCCTCCCCCACTGGCTAAATGTGGCATTCCTTTCAATTATTCACCTGGTTTCGAAGCTGAATGCATACATTGCATTCTGTCGGATTACAACTTGTCCTATCAATTATTTAAAGAGAAAGTTCCTTTTTGTTTTGCTCATCTAATGTCAGTAGGAAATAAGTCACCACAGGTAGGCATTTCTCTTTCCCTGATCCCTTGGCTTTGACCTTGAATCCTGAGGATAGAACACTTGGAATTTTGGCTTTTATGATTCTCCCTTGAAGGAAGACAGAGAAACTAAGCCTGATAAGAACTGTTCAACAAGAGGGAGTCGCAACATAATCACAACACCAGATGCAGCTGCAACATTTTCCAGGGTTAGCTACACCTTTAAGGAGGTTGGCCCCTGTAAATTTTGCTCCCAAAATACAATATCCTTTCTTCAAGAAAGAGGCTATGGCCTTCACTTTTTTTTCACTTTCCACTTCTGTGTAAACATAGTGCATCATCTGTACCACGTCACAGAAACTAGACATAGATTTCACGCTCTTGGGAAAATTCAGTATCCACTGTTTACATCATGGCAGACGAGTCTACCTTTAAAATGTCCATATCCAGATGGCTCCCCCTTCTTCTTGCATGTGTATAACCCCAAAGAAATTTATTGTTGAAATAACAAAGGAAAAAACCATCCCAGGAAAACTTTTCTGTAATTTTCATAAAGCAAACATTTTGGTTACTCAGAATTTACATTGAAAACATTCTAGTTAACATCAAAAAACAATGGTCTATGACTTACGAAAATGCCTCTTCCTTTCCCATTAGAAACTTTATGGCCGAGGGTAGTTCATTTTTTACTATGAAGAGGTAGCTCAGCATTGCTAGAGGAAAATGAGAACATTTTCAGAAAGATATTAAGGTTCATGTCTCCAGTTATATCAAAAGTTACCAGCCATTCTCAGACCAACCTTCAGGAGGACCCAAAGGCAGCGTTAGCTGCTCTCCCAGGATATCTGCCTTCAAAGTGGCTGCTGTCTCTGCCTTACCATTCACGTGCCATTTTGGCAGTAAGGATGATAACTGCCTGAATTATGTTAAAATTTACGTGACGGCCCAACCACCGGTATTAAAGTTATGTATAGAAAAGCAGGTTCTTTTTACCTCCAGTGTTCTGTAGAGAGGTAGCCCCAAAGATTACGAGCTTCCCCGTAGTGCCGAAGACTTGTTCTCCCAGCTTTTCATAAACCATGCAGCCTGTTTTTGAGAACACAAGAAATGACAGGGTTCTAATAGATAAAACAGCCAAAACTTCATCCTTCCCTGGACCACCTCCCAAGTTATTTTGTCCCTTTCTCAATTCACACAAATAGCCACCTTGGCTTGGTGAGGCTTACGGCATTCTCGTACTAAAACAACCTCTTGACATTTTAAAATGTCAGACACAACCACCATTTCTCCTTTTTCAAGTTGGCTATAAAAGCATTACAATTAAACTATTAGGTCATAAGACTTATTTTTAAAAAACTATCTCTACCTTCCTAAGGGGGAAATTCCCAGTGATCTTTTCCTCTGGTCTGGCATATATCATTAAAACAAAGCTTTGGTTAAAACAAAAATCCTGATGGTAGAAAAAGAAACCCCCAAACAAAAAATTTTTAAAAATCCTAATGGTTGAGACAAAAAGATTTTTTTTTTTGCGTTAATTAGCTGAACTGGTTAGGCTAACAAAAATTTATCTTAATGCCATCCCATCAATGCCTCTGTGTCCTAAATATAACGAGCTTAGAAATATCTTAATAGCTACAACATAAGAATTCTAATCATTTGTAAAATTTAGTTCAAAGACACGTAACTCATAAAAGACCAACAGACAAATCTATCAAAAGAATAATTTGGCCGTAGGAAAATTCAAAAGTGTTCAGCTAGTTCATCCCAATAAATGCTAAAAGTTGAAACCATCCTTTTTAAGAAAAAGTTTATATTTCTTTATAACAATTTAGTTCATGTGTTCCAAAAGTTCACAGAAAGCGATATGGGTCAGGCTATAATTAAACCTTTGTTTAATTTCTCATATGGCCAGAATTTAAACTGGCTAGATGTAGATGATGGCTAGATCCCTAACTTATTAAGAAATGTTCCAGTTAAATGGAGTCATCTATACACAATCATAGCTGACCGATGTGGTTTCAGTGAATGTAAAAGTCAAAAAATTACAAACATAATCCAGTGTCCCGGGAATAGAAAATAAACACTTCAGGTATGACACTGCCCAGAGGACCCAACGCCTCTTCACAGCCCTCTCCCTCACTCCCACGTGGCCTCAGGAGCAACATTTCCTCCCGGAATATTCACAAAAGAGAATGAAAGGTCTGTTTACTTTCAAAACCTTGGAAGCTATAATATAAAAATGAGACCTTTGTTCTAGGTTTGTAAAGGCCTAAGGAAAACTGAAACCTTTAAAATGAAATCATCTTGACCTAGAAAAACAGGTATAATTGAGAACTCATGTTCAATGACAACATTAGCTGTTCATTGTCTGTGACAATTTAATTTAGACTTTGTGCAGCTGTATAGGTAAATACCACCATCGCTTCTCCAGTGGTGGTGGGTCAAAGCAGTCTTTCTTTTCGATAACCAGATTGTGGTGCAGAGAGCCCATCATTTGCTCACAGTATCACCAGGGAAATCATTCACTTTGGCTTTAACAAAATCAAATGGATTCTCAGCTTACCTGTTTCTTTTGAGCAGATCAATAGAAGGTTTATTGAATATATAGACAGCAATGTCACAGAAGTCAAAAGTATCCTAAATGGAGCAAAATAAATCTTGTTGTAATAACTAGAAAAGAATATATATTCTGACCTTATATTTTAGAAGGGCAAACCATATTTGTGTGGTTGATGCTAATAGTACCCAAATTTTGGAGCCTATTAGTCACCATGGCTTTCAAATCCTCAATAAAAATGTCCCACCAGATGAAGACGTGCTCATTAGAATCTGAGTAACAGTTCCGATCCTTTACGTAATTCAAAGCCCAACTAGGTCTCTGGGAACATTTCAGTGGAGATGATTTTTTTTTCTTTGAGACAGAGTCTCATGATGTCACCCTCAGTAGATTGCTGTGACATCACAGCTCACAGCAACCTCAAACTCCTGGGCTTAAATGATTCTCTTGTCTCAGCCTCCCAAGTAGCTGTGACTACAGGCGCCCACCACAATGCCCGGCTATTTTTTGGTTGTAGTTGTCATTGTTGTTTGAACCCACCAAGTCCGGTGTATGTGGCTGGTAACTCAGCCACTGAGCTACAGGCGCTGAGCCCAGTGGAGATGATTTTAAAAGAACATTATAAAAGAAAGAAAGCTTTTGTAGTTTACGGTGTACTTACTCTCTGTTATAACTGGGCAAGAAAGTGTGAGAAAAGGGTGTGGGGAGGGGGCGGGGAAGGGAAAGGCTGCCAGTGTCCAACAGGGGTGACCACGTGACTCTGGGCAACTTACTTAGCTTCTCTCTTCTTTAAACTCCTCACCTAGAACATGAAGCCAAGCTGAAGACATGGATGATGTCTAGGGTTCTTTTCATGTCATTCTATGGCTGTGTTTGAATCTACACACTGGACCACCAATGTAACTTGTATTTTTTGCACCTGGTTCCTCTCAGGTGAATAAGCACCTCTCGTAGCTAGTGAAAAAATTTTGACGATCAAGTATAATGAAAAGACTTTTTGAATGACAAACACATATTTCTGTTTTAGTACATCTGGCTCCTTATTAAACCCTTCTTGAGAAAAAAGCACAGTTGAAATGATGTGGGAGATTCCACAGAGTATTTCTGAATCATTTTGTTAGAATAGACATGATAATTGAAAAATAAACTCTATTTATTAAAAAGAGAAAAGATTTTCAGTCCCCAATGAAACAGTTCACTTCCTTATGTAAGAAAATATATCCCCAGAACAATACAGCGCTGCAAGTGATTCTACGCTTGGGTAATTAAAGACAATTATTTTTTCCAAAGGGCTGTTGTGAAGCACTTGGCACATTGCACTGTTCTCTCTGCCCCCGCTGCCTCCTTCCCGCCCCTTCCCCTGCCCGCACACCTGTGGAACCCCTGCTCTAGGTCCCGACTCCACTTGGATGCTACCACTGCAGGCGCCTGCCCTCCCTGGGGCAGAAACTCTGCTCCTCGGCTCTCTGTTCCTCCTGTGGCCATGAGGGGACAGACAGGGAGTGCAGAATGGTCAACGGGAAAACAGACGGACTGTCAGAAACCAGCCACAAAACACAAAGAGGGGGCGTGGTGCCCAGAGCTCAGTGAGTATGGCAAGAGCCACTGGCCTGAGCCAGCTAACCAACAGTGACAACTGCAACAGCAAAAAAACAGCCAGGCCTTGTGGCTGGCGCCTGTGGTCTCAGCTACTCGGGAGGCTGAGGCAAGAGAAATGCCTAAGCCCAAGAGCTGGAGGTTGTTGTGAGCTGTGACGTCACAGCACTCTTACCAAGGGTGACGTAATGAGACTGTCTCCAAAAAAGTACAAAAGAGGGGCAGAGCTGAGCAGAGGTGAAATAAACACTGGGAGAAAGAACAGAAAGCTCAACACTTTGGGGAAAGGCTGAACTGACCTGTTGAGGAACTGCGTTCAGATAGACAGACTTTGTTTATTTCCCAAGGATTCTTGAGGAATGTGATTTAGAGGGTAAGTCCCTGGTTATCTATTCTGGGCCAGGGATAAGTGGAACAGCTCCTTGTTCAGAGTCTTAGAAAGAAGCAATATATTGTTTAATTGAATCAAATAGGTCCTAGAATAATCTAAGAAAATCAAGTCAGAGGTGGTTTGAGACACAGAAACTGTGACATCTAAAAGACAGAGCAAAGAAAAATAAATGGAGAAAATGCAATGATTTATTTAAACATTTGTGTTTTGAGCATGATTACACCCCTATGTGTCCAAATAGATATTTGGACACATGATTATAGTTTCCTGAAAAAATAACATACTCTGAGGTTCCTGTGCTAACAAAGAGGAACACACCTGATTCTTTTCTTATTTCATCTGAATACAATTTAATCTTCCATTGAACTCACCATTGAACAAAAGTTTTGATATGGCTGGGGCAAAAAGTGGTGGGTGAAAAAGGCATTCGTACATAGGAACTAAAGCTACTGGTAACTGGGCACCAAGGTGATACTTCACACTTATGTTCACCCTTGAATAGAATAAGATCTAGAACCCATAACTGCACATGGCCATGGGAAGGGACGGCGGGAGAGCTGAGATTGTAAAGAATGAGGTCAGGAACTTTCAAGAGTGCTTGTGTCAGCAACACTTTGAAAGATGGGATGTAGGGATGTCCTAGGAGATTTCTGCATCCCCTATGGAGAAACTAAGAATTTGCAACTCCCCCAGGGAGAGACCTTCAGAAAGTACCCTGTCAAGGACTGGGTTTTCACCCTGGACAGGATGCTTCTGTGCTCCAGGCCAACACACAGGCATCCAGCTCTGACAGGGAACAATTATGCCACTCATCCTGTTCTGGAAAGTTCTGTGCTTTGGACCTGAGGCTGAGCTGAATTATTATTATTATTCTTTGAGACAGACTCTCACTTTGTTGCCTTCCATAGAGCGCCCTGGCATCATAGCTCACAGCAACCTCAGACTCTTGGGCTCAAGCAATCCTCTTGCCTCAGCCTCCCGAGTAGCTGGGACTCTATTTTTAGAGACGGGGTCTCACTTTTGCTTAGTTTAGTCTCACACTCCTGAGTTCAGGCAACACCCGCCTCAGCCTCCCAGAGTGCTAGAACTACAGGTGGGAACCACCGCACCCCTCCCTTAAATCACTTCTATCCTTGGTCATTTTACCTTCTGAACCTATTCGAGTCTACTTGAAACCTAACCCCTCTTCTACCTAACAGTCCTGATGGTGCTCATTTCAAGATTGCATTCTTTTTTTTTTGAGACGGAGCCTCAAGCTATCCCCCTGGGTAGAGTGCCATGGCATCACGCTCACAGCAACCTCCAACTCCTGGGCTCAAGCGAGTCTCCTGCCTCCGCCTCCCAAGTAACTGGGACTACAGGGGCCCGCCACAATACCCAGCCATTTTTTAGTTGCAGCCATCATTGTTGCTTGGCGGGCCCAGGCTGGGGATTCGAACCCGCCACCTTAGGTGTATGTGGCTGGCGCCTTAGCCGCTTGAGCCACAGGTGCCGAGCCAAAGATTGCATTCTTTGATGTAAACATCTCTAATTCTTTCAACTGTCCGCCTTGGGATGGAGTATTTGGGCCATTTACATGTCAGTCGTGGTCCAGTTTCTCTACTAACCTTCTTAAAGGGTGAGAGAAACACAATGCCACAACATCCATCTTGGTCCAAACAGCTCAAAGCATGTGAGTTTTAATTTTTTTGAGTGGACATCAGGCTTCTTTTAAGGCAAGTGATTTCAGAATTCACTTTTATGGCAGCCACATCACACTTTTCATTCTTTTGGAGTTTCCAATGTGAACTGTTACAAAGCTAAGTCTTCCTGACTCTGTCCTGAGTACCTTTTCTGTTTTGTTTTGTTTTAGCTAAGTGCAGAACTCTACATTTATTTCTATCGTACTACATCTTTCAAGTCTTGTGTTATCTTTTAAAATTGTTGATCCTTTTTGCTTATGTATGAACCACCTCCTCTAGCTTCTTATTTGGCTGTGCCTTCATTCAAGCCCCTGACTTTGAACAGAACAAGACCATCTGGGAATGACCCATCCACCAGCAGACTGCTTGAAGCCAGGAAGTCATCCTTGATCTCTCACCAACTCTCTCATCTCTCATCTCTGAGAGTTAATTGACTGGCAAGTGTCCTACCATTTCTACCTACAAAATTTATCCCAAATCCATATGCATTTTTTCCCCATCTCCACTGCCACCACTCTAGTCCAGGCCACCTCATCTTCACCCTCTGGGCAACTGTGATAATCTTTATCTACCTCCCTTTTCTTGCCTCTTAGGATCCATCTTTCACCCAAAAGCCAGGTAATCTTTTCATTTTATTGCTTTATCATCTGTCTCTATCACTGGACTATAGGACAGGCCATGAAAGTTTAATTCACCTGTTTACCAACTTACAATGAACATTACACACACATAACAGACTTTCAGCTGAGAATCAATGAATTTACAAGTATTAGAATCTCATTGGCAAGTTATGTGAGAATATACCAAGTATCTTATTAAATTCAAGACTCTTCCCATCTGAGACAGTCCTGTGACCTTATCTCAAAAGGTACCATTAGTGACTATTTAGGAAAACTTTGTTGGCCCCTCCAGAGCAATATTTTCCACAGCAATTGCCTGTAGACAAGCTATTCACAATTGGCCCTGCAACACTGCTTGGGATCTACTTTTTGCCACTTCTGAAAGCTGGGATGAAATAGCTCATTTTCAGCCCTCAGGGATACTCCTGCTTTCCATGCTTTTTAAGATTTCTGACAATGGTCCTAGATATATTTACTCTATTTGCTGCAAGAAAAGTTTGATTCATCTTGTAAACGATGAACATCCAAACATCTATTTTAAAAACACTTATTTGTCATTGTTTTCAATCCTACTAACAGGACTATAATTCTTTGGTCTTCTATAATTTACCCAAAGATTATATGGACATGTTCTAATAAATTTCAATTTGAAAAGTACCATATGCTTATAAAATGGAAAGCTTTGACATCAGATGGAACCGACACCTTTAAAGTGACTGAATCGTTCTATAGTATGAGGGCAGCAATGACTCCACAAGTGACTTAGAATAAACATATCCTACCCTTTACAT